GGCCTCTCTCGGCTCGGCACGGGGAGGGAAGCCGGGAGCAGCTAAGTCAAGGCGCTGACTGCTTGCGCTGGGGTGCCGGGCGGGCCCGCGTTTGGGACCCGGAGAGTGGCAGCATCTGCAGGCGCGTGCACCCTCGGTCGCTGTGGTCCTCGGCGTGGACGGGGGTGCCGCTCGGAGGTGGAGCCGGTGTCGGGAGCCAGGTCTCCAGCTTTGCACGCAGAGCATGGATTTCTCTGGCTCCCTTAGGCCTTGCCGCCCCGCCCTCTGCCTCGCTTTTGTCTCTGTGAAATAAGGATGGTCGCGGTCACCTGTCATCCTGGCGCCTGCGTTGTTACTCTGGGTCTGGAGCCCGTACCCGCCTATGATGTGCAACTTTCGTTTTGTTTACATCCCCCTCACCCATCATACTCCTGCTCTCAGGGCACTGGGGAAAGAGTGTGTGAATGCCTACTGCAGATGCTGGGGGTCGGGTGCCGGCCTTTCTCTTCTGCTTTGCCCTCCAACTTCAGCAGGATATAATCCCTCCCTCCTTTCCCCTTCTGGGCCCCACCCCCCATGTAGCCGCAGCTGGCCACGAACTAAAGAGATCCTCCTGCCTCTGCCTCCTGAGTGCTGGGATTGCAGGGGCGCTCACCACACCAGGCTCAGCATGGAAGAATTCTCCCACCAAGCTTTTCCTGTTGAGATTTTTCCCTCCTGGAAAGGGAACTCTGCCTTGTGAGGCAGTTCCTTCTGATCTCCAGAAGGCTGATATTGGTATCCATACCAAATTTATTTATTTATGCATTTACAGTACTGGGGATTGAACCCAGGGCCATCACATTGAGCTACATTCCCTGGCCCTGTTTTATTTTTTGAGACAGTATGAAACCATTCTTGCAGCTCCTAGCCTGGAAGATTCTTTTCTTCTTACCGGATTGTTTAAAATAATAGCATTGTATTATGTCAAGACGTGTATTTCCATAAAATTTACGATTTTTAAAATGTATACTTTAGTGATCTTAGGATTCAGAGAATCGTACAGCTGTCATCTTCACTACGATCTAATTTTAGAATATTCAGCCCCTAAATAAACCCCCATCTGTTAACAGTCACACCCCATTTTCCCTTTCCCGCAGCCCCCAGCTCTGTACATTTGCCTGTCCTAGATGTTTCATGTTAGTAATCTCACCGCTGGTCTTTTGTATCTGGAATTTTCACTCAGCATACTTTGGAGGCTCCTCCGCTGTAGAATGTATCAGAGCTTTCGCCTTTTTCATGGCCGAGTAATGTTCTGCCACCTGGGTAGACCAGGTTTTGTCCATCAGCCGCCTGTGGGTGGACGTGTGGATGGAGTCCGCTTTTTGGCAGTTACATGGCATTCGAGCACAGACTTTTCCATGAACTGTGCCAGCGAGTGGAAGTGCAGGGGCCGATGGGAGCTCAGTGTTCTGTACTTGGAGCCCTTGCCAGACTGCTCTCCGCTGCTGATTCGAGGGTGACAGAACTGGGCTCAGAGAGCTCAGAGCGAGCAAGGTTGCAGAGTGAAAGGACGCTGCTCACGCACTTGGGTGGCAGCACAGTTGTCCCTCAGTATCCACGGACGAATTGGTTCTAGGACCCACCCCGATGCCCAGGTGTGAGGGTGTTCGTGTCCCTGTGTAAAATGGCTCTGTATTTGCACACAGCCTCGTCCTTCCTGTATCTGACGTCACCTCAGATCCCGTCTACCTCTGATGTGAGTGCTCTGTGAATGTGTTCCACGGTAAAGTTTAGGGGATAAGGAAAAGGGCGAAATGTACATATTTCACATAAAAGCAGCTTTCCCGTGTTGTCTACCCACTGTCGGTTGGGTCCACGGATACAGAGCCTGCACGTGTAAGAGGCCAACTGTGTACATTCTGTTGGTCTCTTTTCTGGAGAAAAGAATCCTAATGGATGAACAAAATGGGTAGTATTTACCAAGAAAGGTGTTTGATCACAGAAACGGAGAATATTTAAGATACCAGAGAGAGTGCCAGAACACAGTTCAGCGACATCCAGTTATGAACTCAGTGGCACCTTAGTTCACGAATTTAATTCTTTCTGTAGTTCTGGTCACAGACTAAATCAGGTGAAAACCAAATATCTCCATAAGGTCATCGTTGAACCTAACCATGGAATTTGATTCTGTTCTCGTCCAGTTCAGTCTGCAGTCAGAATCATGGAGAGAATTAAGTTCATGAACCGAAGTACCACTGTAACTGGTATCGCTAACTTCTGGTCATTGACCATGGGACCCAGCTGATTGGTAGACGTGGAGGTGTTGTCATGGTAGCCATCCCCAAACCTGGCTGCATGCTAGAATCATCTGGGTCCCTCGGCCTCACCTTTAGGGTTTTTGTTTTGCTTTGTTTTGGTTTTTTTTGGTACCAGGGATTGAACTCCAGACCTTGCACTTGTAAGGCAAGTGGCGGAACCACTGAGCAAAATCCCCAGCCCACCCTTTAGGATTTTAGATCCAGGAATCCTGTGTCATAGCTTGGATCTTGTCTCTTGTACAGTCTGACAGCAGTCTGAAAGGGGGAGCCCTAAACAAAGCCAGGCAAATTAAAATTCAACTTTGTGTTTTCGTCTATTGAGAAAATTCAGTTGGAACCGAAGTTGGTCATCAAACCCTTTTTCCTTTTTTTAAAAAATTCCAAATGCTATATATGCGAGTCCAGTATTAAGCAGAAGTGAAGGTGGCGCCACCTTGAGGACCTTAGGTAGAAACTCAGCCGTCCTACCTGTGGCTCAGCCCCCGCCCTCCAGCTCTGTTGGTTTTGAGGGTGATTTTGCCATCAGTTCATCAGTTTCTCTAACTCTTCCTTGGTCTGTGCTTTTCTGTGCCCTTATTTAGTTCCTCAGCAGTTTGTTGGAGTTATAAGGGTATCATCACATATGAAGGGCTGTATTTTTTTTTTTTTTTTTTTTTAAGCAAGGTCTCACAACGCAGCCCAGGCTGGCTTTGAACTTGCAGCGATCCTTCTGACTCAGCCTCCTGAGCTCTGGGATAGCAGGAGGCTGCCACCACACCCAGCTTCATTTCTTTGAATGGTCATGGAAGCTTTAAAGTCATTTGCCTCCTGCCTTTGTTCTGACAGCTTCCAGCCAGTGTGGAGAGCTGAGGGCACCCAGGTGATGAGTCCTGTCCATCCCTCAGCATCCATGGAGTTGTTGCCCTCAAGCCTCCCCTGAGCACCTTGTTTATGTCAGGCCACTCCTGGGCTGAGGGAGCAGCCAATCCCGGTTCCCATCTCCCGCTAGAGCACCTGTTTGCATTGGCAGCCGAATCCCTTCGCCCGAGAACCCTTTCTTTCCCCTGCCTGCTCTGGCGTCTCCCAAAGCTCAGGGTCTCTGTTGTGCCCACGAACTGGGTTTTACTCCCTTTTTGCTGTCAGTGACGTATGGGATAGAGTCTACTTTGATTCTTACTTGCTGCTGAGGAAACTAAAGCACAAACCACTGGTACTGGGGATCGAACTTGGGCCCTTGTTGCTTGCGAGGCAGGCGGTGGAACCACTGAGCCAAATCCCCAGCCCGTCCCAGTGTTGGTTTGCATGCTGCCAAAGCCAGTCCTCGCAGCACCCTGTGTGGGCGGTACACCCTGGCCCATCAGTTACTCCGTATCGATGACTTTAAAAGGCCAGCGTGGAGGCTGGAGGTGGCTTAGTGGTACAGCACCTGCCTCACGTGTGGGGCCGTGGGTGTGATCCTGGCAGCTGGTGGAGCCAACGTTTCTGATGTATTTGAGGCCTTTTTGGAACACAGAGCACTCGGTAGATCTCCTCTGTCAGCTTGGCTTCATCTCATGTCCTGTGGGTACTGGGAGCCCTGAAGGTCCTCCGAACGTGGTTGGCTGAGTGGAGCCGGGGACACAGTCCTGGCAGGCAGGGATCCAGTGGTGCTCGCCCCCAGGAGACTTGGCACTATGCTTGCTGGGCCACACTGTCCCCTTTCGGTGGAAATACTGTGACTGCCTCCCTGGGGCCTCAGAGCTGTGACGTTCTCTGTGACGTGACTGGCACTGCTGGGACAGCCTGTTCTTGTGGCTCCCGGTCTTCTGGTAACCACTTTGCAACGATCCTGTTTTCCCCACAGACCGCGGTGCTTCCCAAGCCTGGATATAAATGATCAGAGTATTATTAGCTGTTTCTTTAAAGAGCCCTTGCCCTTGAGGGATGGCGGAGGCTGTGTTCCATGCCCCAAAGAGGAAAAGAAGAGTGTATGAGAGCTATGAGTCTCCTCTGCCGATCCCCCTCGGTCAGGACCCAGGTCCTCGGAAGGAATTCAGGGTGTTCCGGGCCGAGATGATCGACAGCCACGTGATCGTGCGGAGCCCTGCGGACATGGAGCAGCTGCACGGGAAAGTGAGTGCCCCCTCCCCCAGCCCTGCCACCGTAGTCTGGCGCAGTTGGCATCAGGTGCCTAAAGCCTCGACTTGGAGGGGGTAGTGGGCCGACCTGGGAGCCCCTGTACCCCAGCCTGCATTGCAACGAGTGATTATTGTTACAAGCAAGGACCCAATTAGAGAAAACCGCGTTCTTGCAGCTTCCGTCTGGCTCCTGGGCCGTTCAGCGAGGCCTGTGAGCACTGGCTCCACACCCAAGCCCCTGGCTGGGGTGTCTTAGATGGGGACAAGGTCTGCTTTGTGCTCTTTTCCAGCAGTGATGGGTTGGGTCGACTTTGGTGGCTTTGCTTACTCTTCCCCTGGCCCGTAGCTCATTCATGGCCGGGAGCATTTAAACAGCGGCTGGACTGAGGTGTGATTTACAGCCCTAGAGCTCGTCCTCCTCCATGCACATTTCAGTGACTGTCTTACATTCAGACAGGGGTGCAGCCACCACAACAATCCAGTTTTGATATTTGGGTTGTTTTGGTGCTGGGGAATAAGCCACAGGCCTGGCACTGTAAAACCAAGCTACACCCCAGGCCTGTGATCCAGGCTTAGGACGGTTGGGTTGCCACAGAGTTCCTGCGCCCGTCACACTCACAGCGTGAGGCATGCAGCCAGCGGCCTCCTGTGGCCTTGCCCTTGTCCTCTCAGACCGTAGGGAGTGGGTGGCTCTGCCTCTGCTTTGGGGTGTGCAGGCCCGCCTCTCTGCAGCTCAGCAGCGAGGCCTTCATTCAATACTCCTGATGTTAATCAAAAGTCTTTATAAGTGCTGTGCACTCTGTGTATTCTGGTTGTTAAATTTACACCAAGGGTGAGGGTTATTTGTTTGTTTGTTTTTTGGTACTGGGGATCAAACTCGGGTCCTTATGCGTTAGACGCAGGCAACGGAACTACTGAGCTGAATCCCCAGCCCTTGTTTGTGTTTTTACACAGGGTCTCGCTGTGTAGTTGAAGCTGGTCCTTGAACTCACTGTGTCCTCCAGGCAGATCTCAAACTCATGGCAGCCCTCCTGCCTCAGCCTCCCAAGTGCTAGGATTACAGTTGTGCGCCACCACACCTAGCTGAAGGGTTTTTATTTTATTATCATTTCAGTTTTCTAAGGAGGATCACAAGATTGAGCCCACCCTGAGAGACTTAGTAAGACCCTGTCTCAAAATTTAAAAAATTAGGGCTGGGGATGGAATTGAATCCCTGGTATCTAAAAAAAAAAAAAAAAAGTGTGGCAGACCCTGTGTTGCTTTTGGAATCAGTCCCAAGGGAGGAACACTTCAATTCTGGGGGTGCAGGGGGCTGGGTGGCATTGTCCCTGGGTACATGGTGTTCCCAAGCCTCTGTTCCTGCTCCCCATGGCCTCTGCGTGTCAGGCCAGACCGGAGTCTAAGATGCACCGCAGACTTCCTGCGCTGCGCAGAGAGCGGAGCTGTAGGCCGCCGCATGACTGTGAATAACCATGGACGGCCATGTGAAGTGGGGTGAGCCACTCAGGACCCCAACAGGTACATCCCGCTGCAGCTGGGACATGGCATCTGACCACCGCCGACTGCTCTCTCTCTCCCCGGAAGGGCTATTTTGGAAAAGGCACTCTCTCAAGAAGCCGGCCCAGCTTCTCAGTGTCGGACCCCAGGCTGGCTGCTGGAAGGAAAGGTAAATCTTCTCTCAGCGCTCTTTGCTGTGTCATCATGTCCTTGCCTTTGTGATCTTACCACTCAGGTAGACCGTGAAGTTTCAGAGGAGTAACAGGCACATCGGCAATTTCTGTGAAAAGTAGGGAAAGGAGGAGAACAAGTGAAAAACCAGTTCCACCTGGTTATGACGTAACTTTAAAAGGTTTTAAAAACATTTTATTACAAGAAAATATTCATGGTTGCAATGAGATTCCAGCTCAGCAGGAAAGTGTGGACGTCTGACAGGGTCCCGTGGTGCAGCCCTTCCATGCGGGAAATCCTCAAAACTGCGTACCATTTGCTCCTTCCTTCCCGCTTCCTCTCACCTTGGTCCCTGGTAACCTTGGTGGATTTGCCTCTTCTCTGTTATGTTGTATATAAGAGGACTCGTAACAATACCCTTATATGTCTGGCTTCTTGTGCTTAGCCTGTTTTTAAAGCTTGTCCCTGCCATGGTGCGTCTCAGGACTTCATTCCTTCTTTGAATAATATCCTCTGGCTGGTCAGACTGCCTTTCGTTTATCTGTGCACCTGCTAATGAGCATTGAAGTTGTTAGTACATCTTGGCTGTGGTGAATGACGTACTGGCCGTCAGCCCACAGGTGCCTGTTGCAGTCTCTCTTTTCAGCTCCTTTGCGTGTGTACCCAGAAGTAGAATCACTAACTCATCTGGTTTTTGAGGGGTGGTACCAAGGCTCGAGCCCAGGAGCTCTTGAATGCTAGGCAAGCACTCTACCACTGAGCTACATCCTCAGCCCTTACATTTCACTTCTTTCTTTTTTGTTTTGCTCTGTTTTTGAGACGGGCCGGCCTCAAAACTCATGATCTTCTTTCAGCCTCCGCAGTGCTGGGATCACAGCTGTGCACCGTCACACCTGACTGTGTTAACTTCTTAAGGAGTGATTTGTTTACCGCAGCGGCTGCAGCACTTACCTTCCCGTCAGCATGCACAGGGAGTTCGGTTTCTCTACATCCCTGCCAACCTTTGCCTGCCTTCCTTTTTCTCTTTCTCTTTCTCTTTCCCTTTTTCCGCTCTCTCTTCCTCCCCGCCTCCCCCCGTCATTTGCCTAGCGAGTGTGAGGCCCTAGATCTGATGCTGTTTTGCCGCCACACCCCCCAAAACGAAAGTCTTCCTGGTGGGTCTTACGTGCTGAGGTTTTCCTTCTGTTCTTGTTTTTGCTTTTATCGAGGTGGGGGTCTTGCTAGATTACCCAGCCAGGTTGGCCTCAGACTGTGATCCTCCTGCTTCAGCCTCAGTGTTCTGAGTCGCTGGTATTACAGGTGTACACTACCACACCCAGCTAAGATTTTTAATTTTAATGAAGTCCACTTTATCTATTTTGTCTTTTGTTGCTTGGGCTTTTGGTGCCATTTTAAAGAAACCATTGCCAAACCCAGCCCATGCAGGCTTTGCGCTATTTCTCTAAGAGTGTTACAGGCTCAGTTCTGCTGTTTGGCCCACGTGCTATTTAGAGGGTTTTGGTGAAGGTCCAGTTCCATTGTGCATTTGGAATACTGTTTGCTTCTGACCAGCACCTCAACTTCCAGGAATGTGCCTAAAAGATGCTCTGGGCAGAGCCAGGGGGTGTAGTGGGAAGCTGCTCGCTGCAGCACTGTTTGTGGCATCTTGAGGCTGGGAGTGACCTGGGGCCCAGCAGAAGGGCACCCGCTATGGGGCGCAGGCAGGCAGGGAATATAGCTATGCACTTAATTCTGTTTTTAAAAATGAAAGAATTTTCTTCACAGAGATGTAGCCACACATCTGTAATCCCAGCAACTCAGGAGGCCGAGGCAGGAGAATTACAAATTCAAAGCCAGCCTAGGCAACTTAGCCAGGACCTAGGTCAATGCCCAATACCACCACTAAAAAAGGACTTAAGGAGATCAGTGTGTATGACTTGATTTAACCATTACATAGTGTATTTGTGTAAGGGAACATCAAGTTATTTCATTGCTATGTACTTTATCACAGTAAAAGTAAATTTAATTAAAAATAAAAATGGAAGGGGAAACCATAATTTTTTTTTGGACTTGAGATTGGACCCAGGGCCTTTGCACTGAGCTACGTCCCCCTACCCCCTTTGTAATATTTTTTGAGGCAGAGTCTCCCTGAGTTGTCCAGATTGGGCTTGAACTTTCCACCTTCCTGCTTCAGCCTCCCAGAGTACTGGGATTGCAGGCGTGCAGCACTGTGCCCAGCTAAACCATCATCTAAAAATGTCTTAGGAAGGATGGAAATAGGGCAGGAAGAGATGAGGCCATACAGACTTGACGCTGGAACTTTGTAAATATACAACATAGTAATTACAAACTGTTACATTTTTTAAAGTAGCTGTTTTTTATACAAATGAGACACCCAAACAAGTATGTCAGGGTGGGCTGCATAATCTCACAGGGAGAAACTGTTTTTGAGAAAGTCAAACAGATATTTCCTCAGTCCTAGTGGGATAGACCTTTGTCCATTTTCTCTCATAGAAAAATGCTGCTTAGTAAACCACCCCAGGATCCATCAGCTTTGAATAATAACCGAGCGGGCATGGTAGTGCACACCTGTGACCCCAGCACACAGGAGTCTGAGGCAGGAGGCTCTGCAAGAGTTCAAGGCCAGCCTGGGCTACGTAGCAAGATCCTGTCTTAAAACAACAGAGAATCAGCAAGCACAGGCTTGCTCACCCACAGCTGTGCCCACAGAGCCACGGACCTTCGAGGCTCTGTCCTCTCCTGGGCTTTGAACACTGAGCAGCACATACGTCTTTGAGGGAGGCTCAACGGCGGCTTAGCAGGATGAAGGCCTGACCTTCTGGCAACCCTGGAAGCACTTCAGGGGAAGAGATGCAGCCCACCCAATGCCCGGAGCTGGAGCCAGAGCCCAGAAGCCCAGATCCACACCCCAGACTCACAGGGTCCCCAGTGCGCTTCCCAGCACACTTTCCGGGGGCCCTCAGTGTACTTCCTCTGGGCACACGGGGTCGGGGGGGTCTCGGGGTCCTGTGCTGGTATCACCCGCTGTCCCTACTGAGCTGAGGTGGTGGAACTTGCTGAGGTCACGTGGAGCTGTTGCTGATGGGTCCGCCCTGCCGTTCCAGGCTGTGACCCCGGGACCTGGGCTCTGTTCCCATCCTCGATTTTCGGGGTGTGCTTTTCCCTCTTCAGGGAAACACGCCTGGAACTAACAGAGCTCCTTTGCCATTACAGATGTGGAGACAAACATGCCCATCATCACTTCGGAGAAGTAAGTCACTGGAACTTTGGCTGCGGCTGGGTGCATCTTTCCTGTTGGCATCCCACCTTCTCTTTCTATGTGGTGTTAGAGGAGTCATTGAAAACGCTGTCTGAGTTGAATGTGGATCAAGTTCTGTTTGACTGCGTTGAGGTTTTGTTTAAATCGCCCTAAGCTGAGCGCCTTGCCGGCCAAGCTCCCCTGGAAATAGGCATAAGCGTGGGGTAATGGGTCTCGGGAGGCCTGTTCGCCCACGGCCGTAGGTAGCCTCCTCCTAAGCTCCGTGAGGCCAGAGAAGGGGTTTCCCGGACACCGTCCCTGAGGGCCCCACCCACCTCTGTCCCTTGCCACTGCTCCGGCCTTGTGCTCCTGTCCATCGTGTGCTTGGTGCAGGCGTCCATTCTGGAGGCACAGGGACCGGGCCTCCCTCTTCTCTGCAGCCCTACACTTGGTGGTCTCCACAGCTGTCTGCCCCAGCCTCAGTGTCCCTGCCTGCGGCTCCATTCATGGCCCCTAGTTATAGGTCCACCCTGCTTCAGGCAAACACAGCTGGGCAGCCCGGTGCCCATCGCTGGTGAGTGGCATGGGGAGGTGGTGCCAGCTGCTGTGGCCGCAGCCCAGCTCGGGGACCACCTGGGAGGACCCCCTTGCCTGTGAGCCCCTACCCCCCCCCTTTCTGTTTCTCATTCCTTTTGAAGAGCCCCGCACTCCTATCAGTCTCACTCGTTTAGTAAGTAGCTCGGTTTATTGACGGCCATGGGATAACGGCAGTAGGGTGGTGCTGGGTCGGAACCAGGGTCTCCTAGTGCTAGACAAGCGGTCCACTGATGCACCACACCCAGCCCTGTTCTCGGGGCAATGGTTCTTCCATGATTTTTGAGCCAACACAGTGGACGAGGACTGGTAGGTACATGCATACCCTGGGTTGCATCCCCGGCATCCCTCTGAAGAAAGAAACAAAAAGGGACTTGTTGAAAGTTATAGACCCTTTCCCACAAGAAAGCATGTTGTTAAAAATCTTAGGTTCATTAACGGGTTTGTAGCCCCAGGAAGCCCCCAGAGCCAGGGCTGCAGTTCTCTCTTGGTCTTTGGATCTCCCCTGGGAAAGTTCCCATCCCTGTGCAGGAGTGACCGGGTACAGCCAGGAGCCACGGCTATTTGTGGGCAGCCCCGCCTTCCCCGCTGACACAGCACCCATGACAAGGTTCCTGTGGATGCGAGTTGGGTGAGGGACCTGCTTCTGGAATGGGGCGACTGAAACCCAGAGAAGTGAAGTTATTTGCTTGTCACAGTTTTAGGTGACTGAGTCAGGGCCGGACGCAGAGCAGACATGGCCCCAGAGTCACTGCACCCAGCTACTGTAGCAGCTTCACCTGGGTTCAGCCTTGTGTGCATTGTGGAGGGGTCCTGGGGACGAACCCAGGGTCTCACACGAGCTCGGCAGGCGCTCCACCACTGAGCCAGCTCCCATCCCTTTTTTATTTATCATTTTGGAGACAGTGTCTCACTGAGTTGCCCAGGCTGGGCTCCAGCTTACGGTCCTCCTGCTCAGCTTCCCAAGTAGCTGAGATTACAGGCACCACAGTTCCCACCCAGGTGTCAGTCTTTAAGATGGAAGCCAGGCCTGGTGGCACATGCTATAATCCCCCCACTCTGGGAGGCTGAGACAGCAGGGTCACAAGTTCAATCCCAGCCTGAGGAGCTCAATGACTTTGTGAGACTGTCTCGAAGAATAAAAAAATGTTAAGATTTCTGGAGTTGTCACTCATTGTGAAGGCCTTGGATTCAATCCCTAGCTCCGGAACCGGGGCGGCAGGGGAGAGAATCTAAGATCCAGTGCCCGATGGGTGGACACACTCATCTCTCTGTGAGATAAATGGGGTGTGAACCGCTTGGGGATTCTGATGGATAGGGCGAGGAGCCTGGCAGTCTCTTAAGTGCTGCAGAAACCAGCCTCCCCCGTAGATCCCCCGTACATCGCAACAGCCAGCTGCATGCAGGTGCGGTGGGCAAGGAGTCGGGCACCTGCCATGTGATCAGGCGACATCACAGGCTTCACAGGTGCTCGGCGGGGGCCTCAGGCCAGAAACCAGCGGAGCCCTGCACGCCTGTCAATCTTATTTGTTTAGTAAGTAGTAAGTAGCTAGCTACATTTATTGAAGATCATGGGACAGCAGCAGCAGAAACAGGCAGAGAGGTGAAGGGGAAAGAGCCATTTTTTATAATTTGGGAAGTGTTTGGGTGTTGCCTTCAGTTTGAAAAATGTTGCATGCATTGTCTCATTAAAATAAACTGTGAAGCTGGGCACGGTGGCGCACACCTGTAATCCCAGCACTTGGGAGGCTGAGGCAGGAGGATCACTGTGAGTTTGAAACCAACCTGGGCTGCACAGTGAATTCCAGGGCAGTCTGAACTACATAGTGAGACCCTATCTCAACCCCCCCCCAATTAAATAAACTGTGAACATTATTCTGAGGGGAAAGGATCATCTCTTTCTGTACCCAGTGAAGAAGTCATCAGGTGCTGTAAAAAATTTTTGTCAAAATTCTCATTTTGCTCTGCACTGCTGAACACGGGGTCTTTATATTATGGATTGAGTATGAGAAAACATTGTGATCTCCAAGCTTGAAAATAAAACAAAATGGATGTAGATAAAAGATGGCCATTTTCTCTGCACATTTACCTGAATCTTTTGATTTTAAATTATACAAATTTGCCAGGCTAGGTGGCGCACACCTCTAATCTCAGCACTGTGAGAGGCTGAGGCAGGATTGCAGGTTCAAGCCTAGCCTGGGCAATTTAGCAACTGAGTGAGACCCTGTCTCAAAATAAAAAAGAGTCAGGGATAGAGTTCAGAGTGAGTTTAATCCCCAGTACCCAAAAAACAAAAAGAAAAAAAAAGAAAAGGAAAGGAAAATTTCCTGTAACTGTCATCCAGTGTGACATGTAAGCATTTTATCAGCCCCTGCCAGTCTCTTGCTTGCTCTGGTGGCCGAAAGTGTTTCTGTCCACAGGTACCAGCATCGTCTGGCATGGGCTGCAGATCTCCTGCGCAGACAGGGCCAGGATGAGAGCACTGTGCGCCGAGTCCTCGAGGAGTACACAAGGCCACTTGAGCATCCAGGTGGAGAGAGCAGTGCAGAGGGACAACCTCCGGCCAGGCTCACAGCAGGGACCGGGGGACTTCTGGGGATGGATGGAGCCTCTGGAACCACAAAGGAGACGGGAGAGTCCAGGTTGAAGACCCTCGGGGAGCACACAGGAGAGGACCCAGCTCCTGCATCCCAGGTCCCTGGCTGTGCACAGGATGCGCTCAGCCTGCAGTGTGGACTTCTGCCTCTGGACAGCAACCTCCATGCCAGAGGGGCGGAGCCAGGGCCAGAGTTTGTGCTGGTGGAGGAGGGGGTGAGCGGCAGGAGTGAGGAGGAGAACACCTCGGCAACGGAAGAGGTAAAGAGCAGAAAGGTCTGTCCCTTTGTCACTGCTGTACTTTTGTGTGATTGACAAACAGGAAGTGTTTCAGTTTTTTATAAAACTTATTACAGTAAAAGACACATCACCACTAATCCCCCTCCAGACGTTTGGAGCACACTGATCCCGTCGCTCTTGTCACCTTCTGAAGCAGTTCTGGAGGTCCTCTTTCCTGAGTGTCTTTACTTGTGCTGTTGGCTCTCTCAGTGTCCTGAAACATTTCGAAGCATTTGCCTTTCATGATCACTTTGGCCTCGGGGGAGAGTCCACACCGCCAGGTCCGCGAATAAGGTGGATGAGGACACCAAAATGTTTCTGTGCGCCTGCCTTTCCGTTGGATGGCCCTCGGCAGTAGCATCCGTCATATTTTCATAGACATGAACGGGGTCTCCCAGAGCTGCTGCACAGTGGCAGGAACAGTGGGAAAAGTGTGTCCGAAGCGATGGGAGTGTTTTGGGTGGAATTAACGGCAGCGAGTCTTTGATTGTGATAAACTTTTCAAATATACACATTTCCCAAGTGTTTTGATCACATCTCTTGTATCCTAGGGAAAGCACAGCGTATAGGGTTCAGCGTGCCCTGTGTCCCCAGGACAAGGTGCTACTCTGAGTCGCTGCCTACAGCAGGCCTGTTGGGGCCCTTTCCACAGCTGGGCCCATGAGACTCAGGAACAGGTGGGCTAGAGGTGCCCCTCAGGGCCAGCAGTGTGGGTGCCCTCTCCACTATAGGTGGGGCAGGGCTGGGGGATTGTGATAGCATCGACTTCCTCGAGCTCATAGGCTAAAGCAAGACCGATAATTAAAGAATAACTATGGCCTTGACCATAGAGCAAGAAAGAATGACACTCATGAAGTCTTGTTCACAGCAGACGCAACTGCAAGGAAAATGCGTGGGGAAAAAGGAAATAAACTGTTAATAGGAAAAATTAAAACTTCTTTCCCCACATAAGTTATAAAAAAAATTAGTGTTTTGCAGTATTCATTCAACAGCAAGTGAACCTTGGGAGTTTATAAGAAAGTGGTTTTGGGGTTTTTTGCGGGTTGGGGTTGTTTCTGAGACCAGGCCTTGCTTTGTAGTTCAGGCTGGCCTTCAACTGTGGTGATCCTCCTGCCTCAGCCTCCCAGGTGCTGGGTTTGCGGGCCTGTACCACCACACCAGGCAAAAGTGTTCGTTTTTAGGTGCAGTCTCTTCCATGGGGCTTGTAGTGCATCTGTGTATTCTATTGTGTTTGATTTTATTTCTCTCTCTTCAGTTGGTGCAAAGGAAGAGATTAATATGCAGAAGAAACCCCTACAGGATCTTTGAGTATCTGCAGCTCAGCCTGGAAGAGGTACGTTTTCCTGTAAGGATTCATTTCCGTCGTGGTATTTCAGCTCCAGGAGGTGCAGCACTGCCTTCTGTGTATATGAACCTACCTCGCCCTGCAGCCGAGTCACTGGATGAGCAGTCAAGTGCTGAAAGCCCGCAGGCAGCATCCGCAGAAGCCACCTAAATTTCACCCCGGCACACGAGAGGCCCTGGCTCCATCCCCAGCACGATAAGAAAGCCTGCCTTCTGGGGAGTGGTTCTGGGTCATTCCCATTGCGGGGGCTTGGCTCATCCTAGCACTTCCTCTCTCGACAGGATTTCACGGTGGCTGACTAGATTCTCACTCATTTCTTCTAACTTGTTTTTTTGGGAGGACCTTGCGCTTGCGAAGCAGGCGGCGGCACCACTGAGCTAAATCCCCAGCCCATTTCCTCTAATTTTTAATAACCATATAGCTCGCACACCATCATTTCATCCACTTGAGGTATACACGCCAAGGCCAGTGATGTAGTGCCGTGTGCCTGTCGCCCCAGCAACTCAGCTGAGGCAGGAGGATCTCAAGTCGGAGGCCAGCCTGGGCAACTTCCTGAGACTCTCTCAGTAATGAGACGTAAAGTTGAGAAATAAAAAATGTACCTTCAGTGTTTTTCAGTCTGCTGTCACGTCACTTAGGTGGCAGGTTTCTTTTCTTCAGTGTGGTGGCTGCACCTCAGCCGAGGCCCCTTCACTACGACGCCTGGTACTGAGTACTGCTACTCAGACCTGCAGGGCTCCCGCCCGGGCGTGCCGTGCTGTGCCGCACCTTTCCTGCTTATGTCCGCACCATGCACAGCAAGCTCCTTCTGCCTTCGAAGGCAGTGCCCTCCTCTTCTCCAGGGCCAGGCACTCAGAGGTCCTGGGATGGGAGTTGGGGCTGTGTACCCCATCTCCCAGCCCGGGCTCCATTCCTTGCAGAAAGGCAAGGAGAGGCGTTTGGCCATGTTGACTGCATTTCACAGGGGGACTGTTTACTGTGAAACATGGCAGCTTCTGGCCACGATGGACTAGTCCAGTTTAACTCAAGTTGAATGCAGCTCCGAATTCTGTTTCTCAGTTGTACCAGCCACATTTCCAGTCCTGAGCAGCCACACGTGGCCCTGTGGCTGCTGGGAGGGACGGCACACACGTGGAGTCCTCCGCTTCCCAACCACACAGGAGGGTGGGCCGTGGGTCCTGTCTCTGCGCATATGGCCTCTTCTTCCTGCAGAGTGGGGCCATTAGACACCTGGGCAGGGGACAGCACTACGGAAGAGGCCCGTCCTACCCTGTGCCTGGTGGCTGCAGCCAGACCCCCAAAGCAGAAGCCATGTAATTGGTTACGAAGTTAATCTCATGTCTTCTAAAATACTTTTTAGGTTGCAAAAAGAATGCCAGGGCTCGGGGTACAACTCAGCATAGCACACGGGCATGGGTGAAGTCCTGGGCTCCATCCCCGGCCAGAAACAAACAGCATTAAATAAAAAGTGACCCCTTTGCACTAGGAGCTCCCACCCTGTCACTGTCTCGAGCCTGTGACCTGGACGGGTCAGGCTGCTGCTACGTGGCTTCGGATGGTACCAGAGCAGCAGCTTTTCAGTGGTGATCAGAAAGCTCCTTTTAGCTGCACATAATGTTAGAGCAACTTCATCTGACAATGCTGTCCCCAGCGAAATGTGTTGTGTCATGAAGTCCGCAGCAACAGTTTCCATAATGGGAAACCACGCATGTGTCTGGTTTGATGATGGTTTAAAGACACTAATTTATATTTGACAGGAAGGGAACAGGGCTGTACAGTGATTTCTTGAGAATGCGGCTAATTTGTAATGGACATTTTCTGCCTGCTCCATTTTTAGGCTTTCTTCCTGGTCTACGCACTGGGGTGTCTGAGTATCTACTACAAGAAGGTAAGATGTTTTGTGTCATTGCAGCCCCCCTGCAATTTCCCTGATGCTAAAAGCAGGTTGATTAATTTCTATATTGCTTCTGTTTGGTTTTGTGTTTTGAGACAAGGTCTCATATGTAGTTCAGGCTGACCTTGAACTCATGGCAGTCCTGCTTCCACCTGCTGAGTGCTGGGATCACAGCCAGCACACCCGGCTATTCCATATTGCTTTAATACAGATATGTTTACTTCTACTGAATAAAATAGGAATTGAAGTTTTTTTTTTCTCTTGTTGACTTTAGGTTCTGAACTGGGGCTGTTCAGGCAAAAGCCAGCTTTAACCTTTTTAGGCTGAATTTCACTCTTGTAGACCAGAAAAAGTACAGTATCTTATACACACACCAGGAAACCTGTGTCCAAATAACTGAATTAACAGAGCTAGGCATGGTGGCACATACCTGAAATCCCAGCTCCTCGGAAGGCTTACACAGGAAGATCCCAGACTCAGCAATCCTGCACAACTTAGCAAGACTTTTCCTAAAGAAATTAAAGGGGTTGGGTGGTACAGCACTTGCCTAGCATGTGTGAGGCCCCAGATTCAGTCCCCAGCACTGCAAAAAAAATAAAAATAAAATACAAGTCACAAGTGTTTAACAGGCCGCGTCAGACACATGACCCGTGCTGTTTGGTAGCCGCCTCCACTTGCTAAGCATGGCCCAGAGAACGTGACTCGTCCAAGGCTGCGTGCTCCTCTGCTTAGTCTCCTGCATCCTGTGAGCTTTCCTACCGCGGCTGCCACGTGCGGACGGAAGACAGCCACACAGATGGCGCCTGCGGCCAGGGACAGAGTTGGAGGGAGGCTGCACCACACACATGCTGTGCCTTTGGAGTTTCAAACTGTGTAACTAATACCTGTGCAGCATAAGTCGGGTAAAATAGAAAGCAGAACGGTAAAGAGGACAGAAGGAGTATTTTGTCTGGGTCTTACATGTGCCTGATTTTATCATCTAGTTGTGATATCTTCCTCTCTTGTCACTGTCTCTGTCTCTGTCTCTCTTTCTGTCAGTACTGGAGATTGACCCCAGGGCCTTTCACACTCTAGACAAGTGCTCTACCACTAAGCTATGTACCCAGCCTTTGTATTTTATTTTGAGGCAGGGTCTTACTGTGTAGCCCATGATCTCCTTAAACTTGCAATCCTCCTGCCTCAGCCTCCTACATAGCTAAGAATACAGCTGTGGGCTACCACGCCTGTGAACATTTCATCTCCTATTTTACTTACATGAATATTCAGTGGTTTGGAAGCACATTTGGTGGGAGTGACTCGTTTTCCCCCGTGGTGGTCACTCTTAGCTCCCTGACCCCCTTTTATGGTCAGCTGGGTTCTTCCAGATGCTGCAGCTGAGCAGAGTCCTGAACATCTGGAGTTGCCTGGCTCTCCAGCCTCCTCTTCATTAGAGGAGGCAAAGCTCATGTGTGTGGAGTTTTCATATAAGGAGCACAAGAGAAGGAAAGGAAACACAGCCGTGTGCTCAGGCTTATTTCTGGTAGGTTTTGCTGCCGTTTGCTGGGAATGGAGCTGGGCTGCATCTGTGGGTTCAAACCTTCTGCCTAGACGCACCGAGCCCATCCACATTGCAAAGAGTGCTGAGGTCGGTTCTTTGAGCCCTGGAGGGCGCTCCCCTTGCCCAGTCCCACGATTCACCATGTTCTGGTTTCTGGGAGGGACTCTGCCCCAGCCATCCCGTTCCATCACCTCTGAGCAGTCGGATTATTACATTGTTCCAGCAGGCAGCCATTCTATTAATGCCAAAGACTGAGATGAAGCACCTTCAGTTGTTGTTGTTTTTTTTCTGGTTTCGGGGATCAAGCTCGGGACCTTGTGCTTGGCACCACTGAGCTAAATCCCTGGCCCACCTTCAGGTTTTTAATGAACATTTTATTTACACATATTTTTTTCATTTTATTTTTAAACCTTTGCAGGATTGGGGCTTGACCCCAGGGCCTCATGCAAGCTCTATACCCTGCCCTTTATTTCATTTTATTTCTTTTAATTTTGAGACAGACAAAAATCCCACTGAGTTGCCTAGGCTAGCCTCAAATTTGCAATCCTCCTGCCTCAGCCTCCTCTAGAGCTGAGATTACTGGCATGCAACACCATATGCACCTATTCCTTTTCTGAATGTGGCCTGGCATACAGTAGCTGCTCACTAAAGGGCTTGGGAAATGTTTAACCACTGCCTTCTGCTTTGGGGGTTACACCAGAGCCTGAGGCCCAAGCTACTTTCTAACCAGGGGTATCCTTCCTGACCCTCTCCCTGGCTCTTCTCCATGCCAGATATTGCCTTCCCTTTCTTTCTCCTTCTCTGGTGCTGGGATGGAACCCAGAGCCTGTTCATGCCAAGCACCTGATCTACCACTGAGCTGCTACCCCAGCCTCAAAATCTGCCTTTCTGCCTCCCCTGTAGCCCCAGTGTCCTGAGAGAATGGAGTGGATGCCTCAGATGGGGGTCATGTGAATCGTTTTCTATTTTTTGGTGGCCACGTTAAAATTTAAAAAGAAAAACAGCCGGGCGTGTTGGCGCACACCTGTAATCCCAGCACTCAGGAGGCTGAGGCAGGAGGATCACTGTGAGTTCGACACCAGCCTGGGCTACATAGTGAGTTCTAGGTCAGTCTCAACTGCATAGTGAGACCCTGTCTCAAAAAAAAAAAAAAAAAAAAAATTAAAAAGAAAAAACACAGGTGAGCCTGGTGTAGTACACATGCCTATAATCCCAGCAGTAGGAGGCTGAGGCAGGAAAATTGCCACAAGATCAAGGCCAATCTGGACTACACAGTGAGACTGCCTAAAAAAAAATAAAAATGAAAAAAAAATAAACAAGAAAAACTACTTGATTAATGTCTAAAAAGCAGGTGAAATTACTTTTAGTAATAATGTTACGTAGTTCATTGAGCCCATCATACCCATGGTTTAGGCGACATATCCTGCCCAGTTGGACTGGTGCGTGTTTTACACTCAGCCCCTCTCTGGTGGATGAGGGTGGTGGCCGCCACATTGGACAGTGTGGTCTGGGTGCCCCAGGAGGGCCGTGCATTTGTCCCCGCTGCTGCTGCTGCTCCTGCTGCTGCTGAAGCTCCACACCACACAAGGGCATGGAATGGAGTGTGCATAAAAACTGTGTCTTCTTTTTACATAATTTAGGAACCCCTGACGATCGTGAAGCTCTGGAAAGCATTCACAGCAATTCAGCCCACATTCAGGACGACCTATGGGGCCTACCACTACTTCCGGAGCAAGGGCTGGGTGCCCAAGACGGGGCTCAAGTATGGGACAGATCTGTGTGAGTAACCCTCTGTGCACTGGGTGCAGGGTGACAGGGCAACCAGGGAGAGCAGTGGATGTGCTGGTGCTGATCTTCCCTGGCTTAGATAGGAATCTCGGATACTTGAGCACTCTGGGAAGCTGAGGCAGGAAGATCACAAGCTTGAGCCCAGCCTCACCAACTTAGAGAGGACCTGTCTCAAAGACATTTTTAAAAGGACTGAGGGTATAACGCTGTGTAAAAGCCCTGGGTTCAGTCCTAGTACTGAAAACAAAACAAAAAAAGAAAGAAAGAAATCCATTTAGTGAGTCTAGAGAACAGAGTCGGGAGCCTGGGGGAGAAGCCACAGGCCCAGACCAGGCTTTCACTCCTGTTTGCGTCGTGACCGTGGGAGAGTGACAGTGGGACTCTCAGAGCTGTCCATGACACACAGCCCACTGAGGCACATGCACAGTGAGGCGCTAGGCATGCAGAAAGGTTCCCACCGCTGCCCTAGAAAGAGTCCCGATCCCTGGGATTGCGGTCAGTCCCACACTGTGAGCCTCAGTGGCCTCATCTGCCAGGGGAGCATAACCGTGCAGGGGCGCCCTGGCCACGGCTGTCACCCGTGGGCCCTGCTGTGTGTGGGCGCCATCCTGCCGCAGTCCTGATCTCAGTCCTCGAAACTGGGGTGTGATGCTGTGTGCCGGGTACTCTGCTCCTCACGCTTCTGAGAGGGAAGGGTCACCAGTCCGGGATCATTTTCAAGGGTTGTAGGAAGCCGGATCCTGGTTCAGCACTCACAATTCAGGAAGCCAAACACAAAACAATAAAAAAGGAATTTCAGGAACTGCACATCCTGAGATGGATAAAGAAGAGCCAGGTGCCATGGTGTTACACCTGTAATCCTAATACTCAGGAGGGTAAGGCAAGAAGATCTTAGGCTCAAGCCTGGCTACCCTGGGCAAACATAGCAAGACCTTGTCTCAAAAAATATTGTCATGAAACAGGAAAGAGACAGATGATGATTGTGTACAGGGCACTAAGCAGGCCACACCCCTGGAACTCTGTATTTATATTCAGGCCAGAGATGGGAAGCTGCACGAAGAAAAAGCCTTGTCTAGAAATAAACTGCTCCAGTCTAGGGTGCAAGCCTTCAGGAGCCCTGGGTTCAGGCTTCAGTATAGCAAAATGCAAATAAATAGATAAATGAGCAACAGACCCCCTTGCAGGGCAATTGGAAGGACAGATGGATGGACCAATGGGTGGATGGTGGGTTTTTTTTTTTTAAAGGAAAAGAGTGCTCATTTCTCTGCTCCCAGTTGAGACATAGTGCCTGCTGCTGGTCGCTTTCCTAATTCATGTGGGACATCGCATGTGGCCTAGGACAGGAAGAATGGCTTCCCACCTCTACTTCTTTTGTTTGTTTGTTTGTTTTTCTCATTGAGTTTATTGGTACATTTTAGGTATACAGTACAGTTACATTCATCATTGGGATCTTGTACCTCTACATGACAGGTCTTGGTTCTCATTTCTTCCCCTTATCCCTGCCCTCCCTTCACCCCCTCCTCCACTTCTTTCCAGCAGGCAGCCCCCCCACTGCTTCCTAACAGCAGTATTCTAATTCTGAGGGCCAGTGTCCTCATAGGCCCCAGCTATTCTGCAGGCTGAGGCAGGAGGATCTTAAGTCTGTTTATCACCTGGCCAACTTAAGTGACACCCTGTTTCAAAATTAAAAATAAAAAGGACTGGGTTATACTTCCTTGGTTGAGTGCTTGCCTAGCATGTACAAGGTCCTGGTTTCCATCCCCAGTATATAAAAAGAAGGAAAAAACAACAACCAAAAGACCAACCTTGACACCCTAAATTAAGCCCAGATCAGGCTTTCTTAATAGTTGTTTTCTTACTGCAGTAAGGACTCACTGTAAATGGGCATTATGAAAGTTACACCTTATCTGGAGACTCTTCTCTTGAATACACCTTGTCACATTTCATTACTGGAGCAGTACTGCAATGGTGATGTGATTGTCATTGGATTTGGGGCCACCTCTATACTCCAGTACCTCTGCCAAGACCCTCTTTCCCAAGTAAGGTCACATTTGTAGGTCCCAGGAATCAGGACATGATCATACGTTGGACATTTTTTATTTAAAGTGGTTCTTCTACCCGCTTATTTTTCATGATATTGACTCTTTTGGAAGTGCAGTGTAGGACTCCTCATCCTATAAGGCTGACTGTCCCTTCATCAACTTTTGGCACATATAGATGATGCATGTACTTACTCTGTGTCTTAATTACTTTTCTAATTGATGTGACAAAACACCTGGCACTCAAAGTTAAAGGAGAGGTTTATTTTGGCTCACAGTCTGTAGAGGTTTCAGTCCATAGCCAGCTGCCTCCAAGACCAGGTGACACGGCAAAGGGGCATCGCAGAGGAGAAACAGTGCATGGCATGGCAGGTATGAGGCAGTGGCAGCATCAGCCTTCCTTTCTCTCTTAGTCCCATCCAGACTGCCCACCTTTTGGTGGATGTGCTCACACCTAGGATGGGCCTCTCCATTATATACACACAGAATAGTCCAAAACCAATTAGTGCACCAATCCAGTACCACACACCCTTAATCCACATTCATGCACTGTAGCTCCAGTCACCCCCGAAAAGCCCTACCTATGGCCACCTGAGGCTTTGGGGGGACACCTGGACACAACTCATAATACTGTAACTTCAGGAGGGACATGACATAGAGTAGTCCCTTGGCTGAGTGACCACTGTCAGATGTCTGCTGTAAAGTTACATTTTCCCCTTTGCAGTTAACACGTACTCTGTAGCAGGGTGCTATGAATAGCTGGCTCCCTGGTCAGCCGATGGACATCTGACTGAATTGTGGCGTTGTTTCTCCTGGTCCCTTCACCGCTGTGTGAGCTTTCATTTGTAAGGAGGAGCGAGCTTTCTCACCTCATTCCTTTCTACTGTGGTGATGGGATGGAGCCCAGACATCGTGTGTGCCACGTAAGGGCTCAGCCACCAAGCTGCACTCCTAGTCCCATTCTTCCCCGCCCTCAGCCCCATTCTTTCAGACCAGAAACTTAAGTACCGGATCTAACTCAGGACCTTGTGCTTGCCAGGCAGGCACGGCGCCACTGAGCCACATCCCCGGCCCTATTTTTTAAATTTAAATTTAAAATATTTTGGAGAGTGAGGCACTGAGGCTAGAACCAAAGGCCCTGTCCGGCATACTCTCAGCTCCCAGACCTCATGGTCAAATGCCCAGTATATCTCTGTTTTCTGAAGCTTTCATCTTGTAGAGGGGTGGGAGTTTGGTGAAGCAGTTTCATCTTTCCCTGGGAGTTCTTGTGATCATGACATTGAGCACTTACTTGACCGGGCATTGTGCCAATACTTAGCCTTTTCTCTCTCATGTTACATAGGGATGGATGTGGTCACACAGTCATGGTACTGGTGAGGGGTGATTGGGCTCCCTCTGAGGCCAGGATCATGCTCTGAACTTCCTGTTTATTTATTTGGCAGCACGGGATTGAACCCATGACCTTCACTCTGAACTACATCCCCAGCCCATTTTTGTTTTGTTTTTCTTGAGACAGGTCTCACCAAGTTGCCCAGGTAGGGCTTGAATTTGCCATCCTCCCCCGACAGCCACTGTACCTGACTTTGTCGTCATTTTAGAATTTTGGAAGAAGTTAACAACTTGGAGTGGCAGTGACTGGGCAGGAAAGCAAACCCCAAAGTCCACCTTTAACCTGGCCATCTCTCTCCACCAGCCCGATTTCAGGAAGTTGAGAATTGTTTGCATGAACAGTATTTGCACAGTTATTACAGCTTGTGCCACAGGGACTTTGAGCTGATTTGCTGGGTACTTTAAATGCAACTTAAATGGGAAACACAGGAATGAAAAGGAAATGTGACCATGGGAAACAGACTAGCAGCACAGGAGGAGGTGAGGGCTTGCCACCCTGTTATGAGCTCCATGCTGCCTTCATGAGCCCGAGGAGGACGTGACCAGCTATATGACTGATCTGGCCAAAAAGGGAAATTCTTTCGGTTTGTTGAGGCAAATGAAACTCTTCCTTGAATCTGCCTGCATTGGATTTAGCACAGGGGACCTGTGCAGCGGTGATAGTGATTCCCATGGCCAGAGTCCCTTGTCAACATTCAGGTTCAGGGGTCAGGAGTGGTGGGCATCAACTCCAAACCGTGCTTCCGGACCACGGGCCACTTTCTGTGGGCCTGGTCTCTAGCACACAGCTTCCAAGATCACCTTCCTGAAGGGTCAACATAGTACCCACCCCCCACCCTGTCTGGCTGCATGGGAGTCAGAGTTGTGGTCTGGCCAAGTGCCCAGAGGGAAGGAGAGGTAAGCAGCTCGCCAGTGTGTCAGTCAGTGCTCCCTAGAGGAAGAGATATAAAGTGAGATATGTAACTATATCAGCATTTACAAGGTGGGCCTACAGTGGCCGCCACAGAGTCAGGTGTGGAAGAGAGCAAATAGGCTGAGTGCTGTAGAGCCGAAGGATCCCATCAGAGATGGAAGATGAGCTCGCTGCACAGTCCCATGACAGTCGGTATCAGGAAGCCCAGAGATGATGTCCAAGGCAAAGACAGGGACTGGCGCTCCTCCAAGAAATAGCAGCAAGCTTTCCTTCCCCTTTTATTCCATTTGGACACTAAGCTTATTGGCGGGAGCCACTCCCAGAACCATGCTGATCCAATCAGCTGGACTTTCTTACTCAAGTCAACAGGATAGTTAACTGTCAGAGCGATCTCTCCCCCAGGGCAGAGGGTACCCTGCAGAAGCCCTAGCCCCAGTCCCCTTGCTGATACATCTTGATCCTAAAGATTGAATTGACCCCACCCCACCTCTGCCTGCCCGTGCCCCAAGAGCAGGATCCATGCACTCCTGGCTGGAGGGGTGGTTATAATGTCTTTTGTTTATTTTTTTGTGACAGGGTCTCACTCTGTAGCCCAGGCTGGCCTTGAGCTCACAGTGATCCTCTTGCTTTAGCCCTTGAGTGCTGGGGTTACAGGCGTGCATCACCACACCTGATTTTTTTTGTTTTTTAATACCACTGGACTTTGAATTTCTTAAACCTATTCAGGAGACTGAACTTCTTAGAATAGGCTCTCCTCTTACCTCTGGCCCCAACACCTGGCTAGGGTAACTACCCAGACACTCTGAAGTCGCTTGATTTGAAATGAACTACAGCGTAGGCAGTGTGAACATCACACTCTTGATGAAATCTCACGCTCTTACTGCGGGTGGGGTAGGGTAAGAGGCCGACAGGAGTCACCGGTGCCTGAGGAGCTTATTAGTAGTAGAGTGAGATGCTAGGATTGGTCTCCCACACTGGAGTTAAAAATCACTGCACTTGACTTTGGGATTGGTATGGGAGGGAGGGGTGAGGGTCTTAGCAGCAGATTTTCTGTATTAATTATACCTCATTGCGGTGGGGGTGGGCGGGTATTACAGATTTTTAAATGGGCCACAAGGTATATTGCCAGGCTCACATGCAGATAATCGGATGATCGAATCCCTTTGGAGAAGGAAAAAAAAGTCAGGTTGTAAAGTGCACCTGTGATCTGAGTGGTTATACCTTTTCTTTTCTTCTTTGCAGTGCTGTATCGGAAAGGCCCTCCATTTTACCATGCAAGGTTTGGAGCACTTATTAAATAAATTAATAGATTAAAAGATACAAGGAAATCTCTGGCTTCCAATTCAGTTTTCAGCACCATAGAGACAGTTAAAAGCTGTGTCCCTCCTGGTCCTGATGGGAATCAATGTTAAATGTCTGTGCTTGGCTCAGGGCGCAGCGCGTAGCTGTGAAGCCCAACTTCCATCCCCAGCACCACAAAAATAGGAAGAAAAGTCCATGCCTCGAACTAACACTGTTACTGTCTAGAGAGAATAGGGTGTAGGTGATGGCAGGGCGTGTTTTTATGTTAATTATGGGGTTACTCTGTGTGGTGATTGTTTATCTTGACATCGGTGAGTATTAGCATCTCAAAAGCTGAGTGGATTTATAGCTTTCATATCGGGAAAATCATTTATGTTCTTTTCCTGTGAGTGTCAAATCAGCCTAAACATTTTTTCTTTGCCGTGGATTTTCATTAGTGTTTTCTCAGCTGCAACATGGGGCATTTGGGATCCAATGCGGGTTCACTCCTCACCTTGTGCTCAAAGCAGGTTGGTGTTTTGCAGCTATTCTGTCATCGTGGAGCTCGTGGATAAGGGCTTTGCAGGCCCGCTCCGCAGACCTTTCACTTGGAAGTCACTGGCTACCCTCAGCAGAGTTTCCGGCAACGTCTCCAAGGTAACCCACAGCAGCCTGGCATTCCAGTGCCACAGAAACAGCACAATTATTTTTTTATGTAGTAGAATCCAAAAAGTCACTATTAGAAGCTTCACGATGTTTCTGCCAGTGAAATCCTGGAAGATTCGGTCTCTTGCACTCCTCCTTTACTGAGCTGGAAGTTGTCCTCTTGTCCCGCTCTGCTTTGGTGCCTGTGCACTCTCACCTATGGGCACATGGCCCCAGGTCCTGTGGCATCTAATGTGTGTCACCTTCCTTCCCAGCTGGCACTGTTCATGGGCTGCTTCCTGTTACAGTTGTGTCACCACTCACACATTCCCAAAGGAATCAAAACATTGGTGGCACAATTGTCTTTCTCAGTTTGCAGATACCTTGCAAGAGAAAGGAAGGGATTAAAATGAGCTGCTCAGCACTTGGCCATCCTGTCATCCCACCCTAAGAGACGCCAGGTGACAAACCAGGCCGTGGCCCGTCTGGCCTCCAGTACTCTTTCAGCAAAGATAGAGAAGTTTCATATTACACTAGGACAGTCACCAGCTGCAGCTTTGGGCGAGAGCACCTGTTTGGCCTTCAGCAGGTCCATCCCTAGCTCCCCTTCAGCCGCTGTGTTTGCTGACTGACACCCCGTGGGAACCTGCCCCGCCGTCTCGCTGGCAGCCTGGGTGGGTGGGAAGCTGAGGTGTGCAGTGCAGTAGAGGTCTGCACTGCTTGTAGTCAGCATCCGCCTCACTGCACCTTTGGCCCTGGCCACGATCACTGACTGGCAGCTCCTTAGTGATCAAGCCAAGCGCTAGTTCCAGGTTCCCAGGGAAGCCTGACACGTTCTGGAGGTGTCTGCACCAGCATCTGCAGGTCACAGCAGGAGGCATTGGGGATGGGTGGGCCCCCGGCTCACCGCCTGTGTTCTGCTGTCACTGTGGCGTATGGAAATGGCCTTTTCCTCCTCAACAGGAACTTATGCTGTGCTACTTGATTAAACCCTCCACCATGACAGATGAAGACATGGAGTCCCCAGAATGTCTGAGGAGAATTAAGGTCCAGGTGGGTCCCTTGTGGTTACACTCATGTGTCCCGAAGGCCTGAGTCCTCTGTGTCCTCTGGAGCATGCGGTGCCACAAAGTGCAAAGGTCTTTTCCGGTGACAACTGTTCTCTCAGGTCCTCCCCGCTTGAACACTTTCTGGTGCTGGGAATGGAAGCCAGGGCCTCCCCATGCTGAGTCAATGCATGGCTGAGGCCAGTTCAGTCTTCACAAGCTTTGCATGCCAGGAATCCCAGCCACTGGGAGGCTGACGAAGGAGGGTCAGGAGTTTGAAGCCAGCTGGATGAGACCTGGGCTCAAAATTAACCCATGTATGCCGAAGATGGACATACCTTTTGAATTTTTGCATGAAATTTGTATGTGTTACCTAGAAAGTTCAAGGAACAAGAACGTGAAGAGAACACATTTCATTATGATCCATTGTCATGGGCATTCCAGAAACGAATCACTGGGCACTGGAGGGTTAGAAGGTCTGGGATGCAATAAAAGGTTCAGTGCAAGGCCTGGGTTCAGCCTCAGCTCCCTCCAAAGCACAGCTGCGCAGCACTGATGGTGGATTCGGTTGGCATGGGAGGGTTCCACCGTCCCAGGGCTTCCTGCCCCAGGAATGGCAGTGGTGCCAGCTCATTACCCCAACAGCTGTTTGTGAAGCAGAGCCGTGGTGCCAGTGCTTGGCAAATTCTCCCGCTTCTGTGTTGGTTATGCAGTCACCTCTGTTTTCTTGGTTCCAGGAGGTGATTCTCAGTCGGTGGGTGTCTTCCCGAGAGAGAAGCGACCAAGACGAGCTGTAGCAACCCACACTCGGGCCTCTCGTGCCACCAACAGCAGGGTACAGGGCGAGGTAGAAAGTCATTCCGCTGGGATCACCCATCCATAGTTTGAAAGGGCACAATGATCTCAGCACCAGAAAACTGGTTGTATTGTAAAAGATAAAGCTACAGCAGTCAGCGATAGGACTCAAAAGTATGTGAGCTTAGCCCACACAAGGCCCTGGACTCCATCCTGACACTGAAACAGTAAAAGATGAGAAGAGAAAGGCCTGTGCTGGGGCTACAGATTCTGTCCTCGAGCCGGTCACAGACCTCTGACTGAGCGGAGCTTTCTGCCCCTGTCCTCACCCAGATGTCAGATGTGGCCACTTGACCCCTCTGAGGACTGCCCTTCACCAAAGGAGGTCTGCTCTCAAGTTTACCTGGAGATGGGAGTGCACTCTGCAGTGTATGAAACGCCATTGTACACAGGTATCTCTTGCTACCCACCTCTAATCTGCTCCACAGAGGGCATCAGAACAGATTCAGGGACCACCGGACTCCGCCGTGTTCCCATTACTTCAAATGGAAGAGGCATGAGCACGTCTCAGCTTTTCCAAAGACTTCAGCCGTTGAGGCGACACAGAGTTATATTGTTTCAGAGGTAGCTTCAGTCTGTGACTGCTTTTATTGTGAGATCAAATATCCTTGATATATTAACAGCAATTTTGATAAGTGTGGACTCTACATTAAGGGTGCTGGAATTCACATCTGCCATCTGCCATGTACAAGGGTGGCCTGGGAAGCCTGCAGTACAGCTCCTCGTCATCTCATCTGGAAACTTCAGGGTCACATTTCGGGTGCTAGAGATCCCACGTGAAGAAATGGCAAACGGGAGCCAGCGGAACACGGAAGTGTCTTTGGGACATAGTATGTCCACAGAAATAATGGCTGGCATTTTCGTTATTTTGGAGCTCCGCATAACATGTGACTTGGGACACCTAGTGCGGTTCTCAACTCTGTCCCTACCCAGGGAGAAAGATATAAACATTACCAAAATAGTGGCATATATTTGTGGTCTGTGTCGAAAGAACTCATGGGTGTTAGGTGTCTTTCTTACTGTCCCCAAGGCAGTGATATGCATCAGAGGCAGGGTATAGGCACGTCAGGGTAACCAGCCTGTCCAGGCAGAGTTAGTTACAGTTAGCAGGGACATAGTTAAAAATCTGTTATGTTTTGTTTTGTTTTGTTGTTTTCCTTCGGGCTCTGAACTCCCTATTTATTTATTTAACAGTGCTGGGGCTTGAATGCAGGATCTTCCCACTGAGCAACATCCCCAGCCCTTTTTCTTTCTTATCCCAAGACAAAGTCTCACCAGGTGGTCCAGACTGGGCCTGACTTTGCAATCCTCCTGCCTCTGTCTTCATTTTAGAATTGTGGAAGCTGAAGTGGGAAGAAGTTAGTAACGCAGAGCAGCAGAGATTGGGCAGGAAAGCAAACCATCTCCTGCCACCAGTCCCAGGAGGTTGCGGGTGCTGTACAGAACCACTGTGAAAATAGAGTCAAGGTGAAATAGAAACTCAGTGTTGTTTTAATTTGCATTTCTCAAATTACTTCTTCATCTGAGAAATGTCTGTTCATTTCAGATGTCCATTTTTGGATTGTCTTTAAATTAGGGGGGAGTCTTTTTTTTTTTTCAGTTCCTAATATGTTCTAGATATTAGTCCTTTGAGAAACACCTGGTAAAATATTTTTCCCCTTTTATGGGTTACATTTTCACTCTGTTGGTTGTTTCTTTTGCTGTACAAAAGCTTTTTAGTAAGATGAAAACCCAGTTGTCAATGCTTTGTGATATTTTCTGTGGGGAAATATAATGGGGGTTTTGTTCATAAAGTCTCTGCCTACACCTGTGTCTTCAAGAGTTTTACCTATTCTTATCTTCCATCAGATTCAGTGTTCTTGTTTTAATATTTAGATCTCTGATCCATTTCAATTTCAGTTTAGTGCATTATGAGAGATATGGATCTAGATTGAATCTTTGGCATGTGGAAAGCCAGTTTTCCTAGTACCATTTATTAAAGAGGCTGTCTTTCTTCCTGTGAAGGTGTTTGGCCACTTTGTCAAAGATCAGGTAGTTGAGTATGGTTAGAGTTGTTTCTGCATCTTCTATTCTGTTCCATTGATCCTCCTGTCCTCCCCCCCCCACCAGTACCATGCTGTTTTTATCACAGTTGTTTTGTAGCATAATTTCAAGTCAGAGATTGTGATGCCCTCTGCCTTGCCTTTGTTGCCCAGAATAAGTTTTGCTATTCTAGGTGTTTTCTGGTTCCAAATGAATTTTAGGATTGCTTTCTCTAATTCTGTGATGTATGCAATTGGTATTTCGGTTGGAATTGCAAAAAATTTAGATAACAGTTTTGAAAGTGTGGCCATTTCCACTATGTTGGTTTTTCCTAAGAACAAGGGATATCTTTCTGTTTTCTGATACCCTCTTCAATCTCCTTTTCAGAGTACCATAGTTTTCAGTGTAAAGGTCTTTCACTTCCTCATTACATTGGTGCCTATGTACTTCTCTTTTTTTGATGCTACCATCAAAAAGATGATTGAAAGATGTGGTTTCTCTAATTTCTCTTTCAGTGAGTGTTTGTTATTTGTGTACAGGAATGAGATTGGTTTTTAAATGTTGGCTTTGCATCCAGCTGTGCTACCAAATTTGGTTATCAAATCTAGATGTCTTTGGGCGGAGTTTTGAGGTCTTCTATGTAGAGCATCATGTCATCCACAAATAACGTTAATTTAACTTCTTCCTTCCTATCCTTATTCCTTTTATTTCTCTCTCTCATATAATTGCTCTGGCTAATGTTTCTAGAACTACAGTGAATAAGAGTGGTTGGTGATAGTGAACATCCTTGTCTTGTTCTTGTTTCTAGAGTGAAAGCTTTCCGTTTTTGATCATTCAGTATAACACTGGCTATTGGTTTGACCTAGATGGCCTTTTTTTTTTATTTTTGGGTACCAGGGATCAAACTCAGGTCCTTGTGCTTGCGAGGAGCCACTGAGCTAAATCCCCAGCCCAACCTAGATAGCTTTTATCAGATTGAGATTATCTATTTTAATTGCTTGTAGGGTTTTTATCATGAATGGATGTTGGACTTTGTCATGTTCCTTGTCTGTGTCTATTGAGATGATCATGTGGATTTTGTCCTTGCCTCTGTTAATATAGTGTATTAGATTTATTGATTTGCATATGTTGAACCACTCCTACATCCCTGGGATGAATCCTACCTGGTCATGGTGTATGATCTTCTTGATGATTTTCTGCATTCTGTTTGACAGTACCTTATTGAGGATGTTTTCATCTCTGTTTGTTAGGGATATTGGCCTATAGTTCTAATTCTTTGGTTGGATCCTTCTCTGGTTTTAGTATGAGGATAATAATTGCTTCCAGGAATGAGTTTAGGGCTATTGATTCCCTTTGAATTTCATGAAAGAGTTTGAGGCATAGTGGCATTAGATCTTCTCTAAAATTGTAGAATTCAGCAGAGAAATTGTCAGGACCCTGGCTTTGTTTGTTTTAAATTACTTCTTCAGTTTCACTGACTGATACTGGGTTATTTAGAATTGTTTCTCTCTCTCCCTCTCTCTCTCTCTCTCTCTCTCTCTCTCTCTCTCTCTCTCACATTGAGTTTATTGGTACATTTAGGTATACAGTGCAGTTACATTCATCATTGGGATCTTGTATATTTAGAATTTTTATGTCTTCTTGATTTAGAAATTTGTGGTAGTGTCTAATTCACACTGTGTCTCTGCTGTAGACAACAGAGCCAGATAGAGACCTACTATTTAGAAAGTCATGGTGTAATTGGACTTTTTTTTTTTTTGTACTGGAGATTGAATTTGGGACCTTCACGTTCAAGGCAGGGGGCAGCACCACTAAGCTAAATCCCCTGCCCCTGGACTTATTATTTTTATTTTTATTGAGTTTATTGGTACATTTTAGGTATACAGTACAGTTACATTCATTATTGGGATCCTGTACCTTTACATGACAGGTTTTGGTTCTCATTTTTTCCCCTTGTCCCTGCCCTCTCTTCATCCCCTCCTCCCCTCCCCATTTGCAAACACTTTATTTCCATTTCCCTCGACTATTTTATAAAAGCACCAGGAGAGTCCTCCTTTTCCAAGGAAAAAATTTTACATTATGAGCACAAAAATTGATGTCGGAGAACTGCACGAGGAAATGAACACAATTTGATGGCTTCCCAAGCACTCGGGTGTCTTAGCACCATGGAGCACCAGGAGAGACAACAGAAAACACGATTGTAGTCATTCAGTGGTGTCCAGATTTTGTGCAAAGACTATACTACCGTGTCAGGGAAGCAAGCACAGGCAGTGTCTGTGATTGGTATCTGTATGTGAGAATCCTAAGGGAATGTGTGCAGGTCTTTATGTGCTCATAAGCACTGTTGTACTAAAAGACATATTTTGGAAGATGTGATCCCTTCATCAACACAATCTGAGACTAGCGTCTTCTCTCCACCACCCCCATCCTGCTCACTGCCGCCCAGCACAGCTAAGCCTAAGATGGGGGACTGTCAGAAGCTCTCCTCCATTGGAGGAGTCCAGGGGGCACCCCCACAAACATGGCTCCTTGGGGTGACCTTGCTGAGGAGTCACCTGACTGCCACAGAGCACTGAGCACAGACATCACATTTGACACAGGGAAGAAAACGAGCAGCCTTAGGGACTTGACAGGCTGCACCGACGAGCATAAGTCGTGGGGAAGGAATCTGGAGTTCTGAAACAGGCCATGCTTTGAGAGGCCACATGGGGAAAGGCTGAGTTGGCAGACTAGGAACACCAGGCATTCGTGGAGCGGAAAATGCCGATAAGAAATCTGAGCGTTGAGTGGGTAGAGCCGGAGGGAAGGCCAGGGCAGCGTCGTAGGAATGACAGCACAGCGGAGCCTTGTTTGTCGTGTGGATCATGGAAGGAGACACTGGACAGTGTGTATCTGAAGTGCTGTACAGTTCTCTGACTCGAGTCACTGTGAAGTCACACGATAATGAGTGCTCCTGTTGTCCTTGGGCAGTGTGAGGGAGAGAAGCTGGGTGTGTATGGGAGGGGACCGCTGAGCAGACCCCAGTGCAAGTGGGCATTTACCACCTTCTGGGTGAACCGATTGCAGAGGGAAGGACAGCAAGAACGATGCGTCTGTGTCTTGGCTCCAGCACAAGCATAATCACACGAGTCTCAGGGTTCGGATGTCGTGCACACAACATCATGTGTGTCCGGGGCTGAGCAGTTCACGTCTAGCCTTTCATTTCTCCAGCACATTTCTGCCATCATTGGCTTCATCCCCACCCGCATCACTTTTGTAAATTCTCAGGATTGTAAGGTACCACTCGATGTTAGCACATACAGACACGGTACTTACAGTGCCAGGATTTCAGAATCTGTCTTGGGAAAAGTGAGTAGAAGACAACTTGGTCTTTAAAGTGAAGAAACAGGAAGCCCAGACATGCTGCATGACAGACACCAAGCCGTCATTACTGGGAAACGGTCCACAGCAGGGGGATCTGTCTCTCTTCACCCTGTGATGAAACGAGAGTCACGCTCAGCTTTCTTGTTCAGCAGCTTTCTATCTTGGTGGTAAGAAAGGGAGTTCTGCGTATTATAAAGCCGTGAAGCTACACAAAGTGCAAACTCTACCGCCCTAAGGAGGCTCACCGTGAGGAGCAGCTGATGCACAGGTTCACGCGACGGTGCCAACAGGAGCACAGGGCTGCTGCGCAGCTCACGCACCTTCGGCAGGAAAAGAAGGTTTTGTAGCAAAACAGAATTTTCAGAGTAAAACAATCTGAGGAAAGACAAAGACTTCCAGGATGTTCTCGATTGAGAAGCACATAGTTCTGCTATGCAGATGAAAGTAGCAAAACTATGTGGGGCTGAAATGTCACTTCCCTGAGAAGATGTATAGGAACTAGTAGGGTATGAAATTATCGCACCCTAATAAATATAGTTTGAGGGCTGATTCAGGCAGTCAGAGCAAGTCATTTAATTCAGGAAATAGATGAAAGGCTAAAATTCATCGATAATTTTTATGAAACAAGTTTGTCCTATTTCACGAGTCTCAAAATTAAAAGAGTAAAGACCCTAAGGAGAAAAAGCCCTCTGCGCTGAAGAGAACACAGTCGTCGGGGTGGAGTGGACAGGGAGAGCAGGACGTCCCTCTGAGGGCTCAGAAACCTCACTTGTGAGTCCAGTGTGGCCCTTCCCTGCCCTGCCGGGACCCTGCCAGCCCACTGATTGCACAGCTGTGGAGAATGAAGTCCCTTCCCCAGGCAGATGTGGGGGGAATTCTGTGCACCAGAGGAGGACCAGCATGTTTTATAAGAAACTGTCTTTAGAGCCTCTCAGGGCCGTGACTTCTGTGTCTTTAGAAAGGTGACAAGATCCCCGGTGAGCCAGACATTGTGTTATCCCCAATGCAACACTTCAGCTCTTAATTTTACTTTATTCTCCCCTGCATAACAGGAATCTGGGGACAGCTGTGCTTGAAACTTCTGAGTTTTCTTGACACATCTGTGAGGGATTAGGACGTTGCATTGATACAGACAACACCACATTGTGT